GAAGATGACCTTTGAGCATTTAAACTCATATGATGATTTATTATCAGAGAGACTTTCGCTACTTTCACCGGAATAACTGCCATAGCCGCATCAACACAGAGACCTGACTTTTCGCAAACCTCGCCGGCCGCAGCCTCGAGCTCTGTTATCGATCCGAATGCTACTGGTAATAGCTCAAACGGAGTTTCTTCGCTCGTTACATCGTAGGTGTCACGTCATCTGTAGTGAAAGAAAAAGAATAACACGACTTGCCAAAGAGAGGTTAGCAGTGGCTCTCTGTAAGCTCTTTTTGTATTCACTGAAATCTTCAAATAGTTGAAACTTTACCCCCAGAACCATTACATCCAGTATAACAAACACCAACTCGCTGCCAACTGGTGTTTCGGACTCGTCGTAAGTCAATATCACTATCTGCAATCTTGCTATGATGATCAATAACCTTCACTTATCGTTGCAAAACTTCAAATGCCGAAAGTAACAATCAGCCACTACCTTCGACCACTCCAGAAAAGCTGCCAGGTACAGGAACCCCGACCGTCACGGTAACGGGGCCAATTCCGAGTCATGAAGAGCCTGGTGATCCCAACCGTGACAGATCCTCCAATAGTGATCTCCAAAATGGTGAAAACAAAACAGCCATAATCGTAGGAACCGTTTTAGGTGGACTGGTCTTCATCCTGATCCTAGCAATTCTCATCCTCTTATGTCGCCGGAAGAGGGGAAGGAGGAATGTCTTGAACATGAGGTTCAAGGGAAGAAGAAGCTGGACGACGGCAAGCTCGACCACGGCGATTCCCTTTTATAGGGACATGATGGTGAGGAGTAAGAGTAGCGGTATTGGATCTGGAGGGACGAACCGGACGAATGTGAACGGAGAAAGAGATGTAGGTAGTGGTAGTGGTGGAAGATTTGGACTCGAAGAATCTAAAGTGTTCATGTTCGGGGACGTTGCTAGACGGTCTTCGATCGATAAGGGTTCGTACGACGACGATGATGAGGAGGAAGGAGAAGGAGAAGTTGATGAGAGGACACCTGTTTTACCCAGTCTTTTGAAGAACCGGGCCGTCGCTCAGGTTCAGGATAATACTCGACTCTTTCAGGTCAAACGAAAACCACCACCACCGCTAGTACCTCTCAGGTCTAGTAAACCCGACTCACCAACAGCAACCAGCTTATACACCAGTAGTCATGGTACTACTGTTACCACGTCTTCCTCTTCCTCTTTCATTTCCGAGGAGTCTGGGGAACCGCCCTCAACCTATCTCACCGACCATCGACCTCGGTTGCGTGCTCGGACAGATAGACAGATGTTCCTCCAAGAACAGATTATGATTTCACGTCGGGAAATGATTTCAATCACGAATGGTAGCAAGGACACAAGATGTGGTGATGGCGACGGTAGTCTGGGCAGGGGAGGGGAATCAGCGGCAAGTCAGTTAGCTCAACTTTGGGAGAGGGTGAGGCAGCTGGAGGAATGGCAAGAGTCGGATTGGGCTTTGGGACTTACGAACGAAGAACCCAAGACTGGTGGGATGACAATTGCGACAGTTGGACTTGGTGCTTTGGGAGATGGAGCGAAAGGTGAGACGAGTGCAAGCAGCCTGACGTTAGAGTCAAAAGTCTGAGTCAACCATGAATGCATGTCGGCCGCCTGAAATAGACTCTTTGGTTCTAGCTGGTCAGGGTGGATGCTTATTTTTAAGCTGACCGAAGGGAAGGTTTCTACTAATCATTCAGCCTTGTATATGCTACGCGAGTGCGACGGTTCTCTTCTTTGATACCCAGATGATATTTTTCAAAGGACAATAAATATCATGATCATGATGATAGACCTCGAGTCACTGCTTCAACACTGCTTTCACAACAGACAGGGAATGGCCGAATAGTACAGCGGACCGTGTAGCCCTTCGTGAGCAGGACTGCATCTTCCAAAAAAAACACTCCCCTACGAGGCCGTAACCTACGAAACCCGTCGGCCCTCCTTGCTAAAACTCGATTCGGGTTTTGCGGAATGTGGCTACTTATTTTAAAACGGACACATGATCGTGGTAACGAACAATTAATTTACAGAGTTCCGAATTCGGAAAAATCAGAAGATGTCTTCTTATAATCTTGCAATGTCGACAGCAGGCTCGCAGACTGAGGTGATCCATACCTACTGCTATGTGAGATGTCCATCAGTCTCACATTCTCAACAAGACTGGCGGCTCCGAACAACCCTTCTATTCTTCGCCGTCTTTGGGGATCCCGGCCTTTGAATTCTACCGCATGAAAAAAATTCTTTAATTTACCACTCAATTACGGTCTTCAAAGACATAACATTTGACTGCCAATAGAAGACATCTCAAGCTATTCGGAAGGCCATCAACTTTAGGATCACAGAAACGTGACTAGTTTCATAGCTCATCCTCCCGGTTGCTGTTAGTCTCAACAAAATGATCATCATATTCATGATGAACAATGTTGATGGCTTTACATTCTGAAACGTTTTATAGAACAGCATTAAATGCACCGCAGTTTGTTGTTTCCTCCTTCCCTCTCCCCACCTCAGTGTTACCAACTTGATCGCTACGGAGTTCTTACTACGCTCGTTTCTCTTCATACTTAAAAGATGTTGGGGATTCTCGGAGTATTCCTGTATGTTACTATCGTCACTATACTACCTCGCACTGCCACTAATCAACTGCCATTCACTCTACGATTCATGAATCATTCGTTGTAGAGCTCTTACTGTATTTTCGAATACATCTGTGAAGGCATTCAGTATATCTCCGCTTCCCGTCGCAGTGACGCAGCTTATTCCTGTTACTGTAACATGGACGAGGGATCCGCATTCAGATCCCCCCCAATGGCACTTCGAAAAATCGAATATTCTAACTCCAGGGGGGACTGTAACCGTTACTGTGTCCAATCCAGGAGATTTGGCAGGCACGCTGCCCATTACTTTCACCAATATCGGGTAGGTAATATCTCTTCTCAAAAACTTCAAACTCATCAAATGGATTATAGAACATTCGAGTTATTCGCAGTTGCTAGCCATGGTCAATCGTACGTGGTTCAAAATGCAAAAATGAGAAAGAGTTACGATGACCATTCCAATTATTAGTCAGGGGACTTTGACTGGAATAACTGTGGTACCGAGTAATACACCTCCTGCCTCAACAGAGAACCCTGTTCCTCCAATCCCCAGTAACCCAGCCAATTCTCCTCAGGCTCAGCCTGGCCCTACATCCACTATAAGCATTATATCGTAAGTGGCATGTTATCTCCTCTAGATGAAGAAAGAACCTGACCTTTCCAGAGGGACCAGTGCCAATAGTGCCCAAGAGTGAGTTCTTTTCTGTGTTTGCTTCCAACAGATCTAAAACCATTCCCAGAACTTCTGCCACAGAGGCGACAAACGTCAACTCTTCGTCTCCGTCTGGTAGCATCACGTCGTAAGTTAAATCTCGTACAGTTAACTTCTATGAGCGTCGTCGCCTGATCGTTTGTACAGATCAAGTTCAGATACGAGTGGTGGAAGCTCTCAGCCATCAGGGTCTAAAACTGACTCAGCACCATCAACGACTGCAGGAGGAGCCCCGGCCGCATCAGGATCAGATAACAGCTACACGGGAAAAGATCATTCAAGCCAGGACCCATCCGCAGGGACGTCTCCGACGTCCCCTTCCGGCTCAAGCCCTGTAGCCGATGATGATCTCCAGAGCAATCACAAAAACAAAACAGCCATAATCATAGGAACCGTTTTGGGTGGCCTGTTCTTCATCCTGATCCTAGCAATTCTCATCCTCTTGTGTTGCCGAAAGAGGGGAAGGAGGAATATCTTGAACATGAAGTTCAACAGAAAAGGGAACAGAAGAAGCTGGGCGACGGCGAGCACGACCACGGCGGTTCCGTTTTATAGAGATATGATGGTGAGGAGTAAGAGTAGCGGTATTGGATCTGGAGGGACGAACGCCGGGACGAATGTGAACGGGAGTTTTGAAGACAGGGATGTAGGTAGTGGTGGTGGTGGAAGATCTGGACTCGAAGAATCTAAAGTGTTCATGTTCAATGGAGATGTCGCTAGACGGTCTTCGATCGACAAGGGTTCGTACTGCGATGATGACGATGAGGAGGAGGAAGGAAAAGGAGAAGTCGATGAGAGGACACCCGTTTTACCCAGTCTTTTGAAGAACCAGGCCGTCGCTCAGGCTCAGGATAATACTCGACTCTTTCAGGTCAAACGGAAAGCACCACCACCGCTAGTACCTCTCAGACATAGACCTAGTAAACCCGACTCACCAACAGCAACCAGCTTATACACCAGTAGTCATGGTACTACCGTTACCACATCTTCCTCTTCCTCTTTCATTTCCGAGGAGTCGGAGGAACCGCCCTCGACCTACCTCACCGACCATCGACCTCGGTTGCGTGCTCGGACAGATAGACAAATGTTTCTCCAAGAACAGATTATGATCCTGCGTCAAGAAATGATTTCGATCACGAACAGTAGCAAGGAGTCTAGTGATACAAGATCTAGTGATAGTGCCGGTAGTAGTATGGACGGCAGTGGAGGAGAGGGATCGGCGGCAAGTAAGTTGGCTAAACTTTGGGAGAGGGTGAGGCAGTTGGAGGAATGGCAAGAATCGGATTGGGCGTTGGGACTTACGAACGAGGAACCCAAAATGGGTGGGGTGACGATTGCCGGGGCGGTTGGACTTGGTGTTTTGTAAGGTGGGGGTGAAGTGAGGTGAAGTGAAGCAGGGGAGAGAGGATAGTGAACAACGTCGAATACGTCTGCGACAATGGCTTACGTGGGACTCTTTGGTGTTGGTCAGAGCGGAAGACGCTGACCAGTTCTAGTCTAATATGGATTCTATACCCGTACGATGTTACGATGTTTCTAAGGGGACAGTAGGGATTCTCGTACCAGAGTGGGAATAGCGAAAGTTCTGCGAGTCGTTGGCCCTTCGTGGGCAAGGTTGCATCTTCAAAGAAAAAGGTTGCGATTTTTTTTATCCGACCTGCCTGGTTCGAACAGGCGACCCCAAGATCGAGCTTCCTCTTACAGTCTTGTGCTCTTCCAACTGAGCTAAGGTCGGTTGTGATAGAACGAGCTTACCCAATGTTCAAGAATCTGGTTATTTACTTGGCGAACGTGTCATGAGCATCTTTTCCCGCAAAACACCATCTACTAACGTCGTTCAAGTTGTACTAGTATCTCTTTCAGCAACAACAGCTTTCGTCGGCTTTTCGGAATACCTTGCTATTCCTATCCATCCCCCTTCCTGCTTCCCTTCTTGATTCTTCCAAAGGTCCCCCGTAGCTCATCCGGCTTTTCTCTGAAACGCACTCACTCTGATTGGCTCCCTCTAGTACATTTTAAAACAGCCCAGTTGGTCGATCAATTTGACGATCGAATGTCCTCGAAATGCACGCCTTCTCATTGGCTAGCAGTCGCTGCCGAAGAACGGATATACCTATGCCGAAACGGCTCCGGGTGAAATTCGGACTCTCTGATTGGGTGGTTGAGCTTTTCTTACCGTGACGAATCTAAAATTGAAAATCAGATTATGTCATTAGCTTTTTTTATGGGACCCCGGGAAGGAAGGCCGTTGTCCTTTCTCCTTGTCAACTACCACCTTTGCTCCCTCTCTTTGACGCCTTTAACGATTACTTGAACCCCGTTACTTTTTTTTTCTCCCGCAAAAATGTCAGAATCCTCTGTTTCCTCCACAACTACAGTTACAAATACGACGAGCGCGCCTAGCGTTCCTCTCCCTCGTCGTCAAAACCAAAACTCGAACGCAGGAGCCACTCCACCTGTCTGGCCGATAGAAGACGCTGTTGATTCTGAAACTACTCCCTTGACTGCGAAATGCGCCAGGAACTCTAGAGCGGACGGTGTCTGTTGCAAAGAGCTCAAAGCTGAAGAGAGGACGTTGATTGACCCGGATGTTGTCAGAGATGTGTGAGTGGCATTTTATCTTTCCGCTGTTTTTACAAAGCGCTTTGAGTGGCAATGGTACTGAGTATACTTCTACTAGCATCATCGGTCTGTCAGACGGTCTTACCGTCCCCTTCGCGCTCACCGCCGGTCTCTCCTCACTCGGTACCTCCCGCCTCGTCGTCTTGGGTGGCGTAGCCGAACTCATCGCTGGTGCCATCTCAATGGGTATCGGAGGTTTCCTAGCCTCCCAAGCTGAAAGAGATCACTACCGTTATCTCAAAAACCAAACAGCCGCTCGAGTCGTCAGAAGCTGTTCAGGTGAAATGGAACGAGAGGTCGAAGAAGTCCTTGGTCCTATAGGTGTAGACGAGTCGACGTGTAGAGCGGTAGCGAAGAGTTTGAGAGATTCTGGAGGCGAGGAAGAGGCTAGTCCGGAGTCGAGGACGAATGACGTCGAGACGGGATCGTCGTTGAGGTGGAGTAAGGATGTCGGTTTGACAGCTTTTTTGCTCAAATTTGGTCAAGGGATGGGTACGTCTTCAGTTTTCTCCCCCTCCTTCTTTCGCTTGGTCTTTTCTTGGAAGTCTTTTTATAACCACACGCTTATCTCTTTCTTTCTTTCCCTTTCACAGAGGAAGTCCCCACCCGCCGCCTCTACATCTCCGCATTCACCATCGGCATGGGCTACCTCATCGGTGGTCTCATCCCTCTCTTCCCTTACTTCTTCATCCCCCACGCCCAAACCGCTCTCGTCTACTCATGTATCGTCACCGGTGTCGTGCTTTTGATCTTTGGAGCGATCAAGGCACAGGTGACGGGCGCTAGTAATTCGGCTTATGGAATCGTTTGGGGAGCGGTGAGCACGTTGCTTGTTGGAGGGATTGCTGCGGGAGCGGCGTTTGGGATTGTTAGGGCGTTGGAGGGAGAGCAGTGAGCGGATATTGCTAGTTTCTGTGACACGCACGGATGGGAATATGCATGTGAATATATACCTTGATGACTAGGTCCAAGTTTATAGATGGCTACCTGTGCTTTCATGTCTTTTTTTCTTTTTTCGCCTTTTCATGTAGTCACGTTGTGTATGTACCACTGCAGCTGTGTTTTGACGACCTTTTTTTATCCCTTCTTGACTATACTGCACTGTTCTTCGTAATGAAATGAATTTATCTTACAGGCTTTTACTTCTACGTTCTGCACATGGTCCACTGTGGTGAAGCGAGAGAAATCGAACGTTTATGATAGTAAAGACACTTCTTCTGCTTACTCTTATTGGCTGTCAACAGGCTAGTCTTCGATTGCTGGTCCTGCGGACCAACGAGCCTAAGGGAAGAATGGTAATCGCCGAACCTTTAAGGTTTGGTCTCTTACAACAACTACGGCAGTAGGGATGAGTGCGTTAAAGCCTCTTTGGGAAAATGAGGACTAAATGACCAGAAGGACGCTTCGTGAAAGGTATTTCAGTATCAGCATCATATAAAGAGAGATAGATTGCAGAGGAGAGTAATCTGCAAGCCAAGAGAGTGACCGACTTCAGTGAATAGGATATGAACGAGAGAGATTAACGCAATTGGGATACAAGTTGATTTCTGAATTATATAATACGTGATTTAAGACACTTTACTGACATAGGGAGGACCAAGTCAGATCCCAACGATAGGTTTGAAAGCTTCAAAGCAGCTTAAGATTGGTTGTCTGTTATCAAGAGGTCTCATTCCTTCGCTGTGACTTCGAGCCAAGGGTGGGCAACAATATATCACCAGCATGGACTGTGGTGGATATGTACCATGACGGACATGGTATACGAGTTGTTCCGTAACAGGGATCTTGAAGAAAGTCGGCGCCGTGCCCACCATCATAATTCCAGGCATGACCTAAGTAGTAGGGGTGAAAGATAAGGCAAGAAAACGTGAGAGAGAGGGAAGAACGAAGAGACCTTTTCGGTAAGGGGATCTAAGCCAATTGCTTCCCTGTTCTTGTTGTTCTCCGTGAACGCAGCTATAGCTTTGGCGACAAGTTGGGCCTCTGCATTAGCGCCTTCATCACTATCCTCTACCCATTTATCCTCCTGCACTAGAAGAAGGATCTCATTCCGGCTTCGATCGAGGAGACAAACATCGATTTCGGCGTCCCGATGTTCCCCGCAAATGAGCAGTGCCAGATTCTCCCTTCGTGTGCGAGCGATGCGGTTGCGGCGAACGTAGCCCAATCTCTTGAAAAGTTCGACCATAAAGTCGTTGACAGCAGGTTCACCAGCACGATGATTCATGGCTAGGTCGAGCAGGTGGATAAGCTCGGCGTTACAATCTTGAACCATGTCTCTAGCCGCGCTTGTGTTGATTAGCTCGGGATCGACTTGGGGTAGCGGCAACGCTTGCACACCGAAGAAGGTGAGGTGATTTTGGCTGTGCAGTTCAATGTGATAAGCATCCAGATCGTTTAAAGTCCAGTCGCTGCAGGACTTGGCGGAACGAATCAAGTTCGCCATTGTGAACAGCGCCAGTGAGGGATGGTGAGAAACGTGTCACAACTTATAGTGCACGTGTAGCTTTGTCAATGTCACGGTTCAGGCCTTCCCGTTGATATGCGCGAGCTTCCAATGTATCCTTGAATATCCCTTCCAAGACAAACCTCGTAAGTACTAGTCTTCTAGTTACTTCTTTTCATATTTTAGCCTTCCCTAGTCTTTCAAGAATCTCGTTACTTTCTGTTCCAACATCTCCCCACTCGCTATTACAAGTTCTTTAGAATGAGTTACCCACCTCCGTATCAACAAACCTCATTGCCTTCTCATCTCCTACTTTCTTCACCCATTCCTCGAGCCTAAATTGAACTTATCGATTTGTATCACACCGCATCGTCTTCAATGACATTCCTCCCCGAAACAACAATAGGAAACTGGTCACTTACATGGAATCGTTTGGAGGGCCCAGTGACAGAGGTGTGTCGCTTTTGTGAGGAGAGCATTCTAAGATGGGAGTGGCAGTGGAGACAGAACTTGGAGTAAAACGAAGGTGAGTAAGAATGTTCAGCGCGTACGTTTGGATTTAGACTCTAGCTTACTGCTCTTCTCACTGTCATGTCTTTTAATCTATCTATACTTCGTAATATGACTTACGTACGACCATGTTACTTTCAAGTTTCCTTTGACTAACTACTCCATATCTAGTAGAGGACGTGCGGTACACAAGATTTAGCGTCTCAAGGTGCCTCTTGCATTTCGACGTGCCCGAGTTCTTTATCTAGACGCATATAGGTCCAGTTACATTGAATCTGAAAAGTATGAGCAAGGCCCATGAATCAACTCGTTACTGACAATACATACAAAAGTGAGGACTATCCGTGTATTGTGAATGCATCGGACTTTCGTCTTCGTCGTTGCTTGTGTTACTGATAATAGCTTCGATTACCTGGCTTGACGGAGGACACCCCTGACGTTCCTCTAAGAAGCCTGAGCCAAAAAAGGGTAAAAAAAAACAGCTGATTTTATTCCTAAGGCAAAAACGGGTAAGAATATGAGTTTTTCGGTGGAAGCCTGGTGCCGAAGGCAGGTCTGAGCCAGAAGCGGGTAAAGAAGGGGGTCAAACCCACATCAGGTATAATTATCCTCACCTACCCACCGTTAAGTTTTCACGAGTGTTTTGTAGAATTTTTATGCTTTTCACTCCAGATGTGTACTAAATCTGATTGTTTCATCTTCACCTGTCTATTCAAACTTCAAGCTTCAAGTCTAAGGTTTGATACACCCTTTCTTTCTTGTTGCTTTCGTGGAAAAAAAGTGTATTCTGGTAATCTATGATCTCTCATGAAATTGAAATTTAATACAGAAAAATTGGAATTTCTGGGAACCTGAGGGCAAAAACGGGGGTCTTGATGCAAGAACGGGTAAAAAAGTCAGGAGCTCTGACGGCTCAAGTTTGGGTAAAAATGGTGGTTCCGGGGTTGAGGCTTCTTCCCGCCGGCGCCGCCTCTACATCTCCGCATTCACCATCGGCATGGGTTACCTCATCGGCGGTCTCATCCCTCTCTTCCCTTACTTCTTCATCCCCCACGCCCAAACCGCTCTGGTCTACTCATGCATCGTCACCGGTGTCGTGCTTTTGATCTTTGGAGCGATCAAGGCACTGCAGGTGACGGGCGCTAGTAATTCGGCTT